CCCTTCCAACCCAAACGATTCTGTGATTCTACGCAAATGATAAGGTGTGCCACAGCACACCAAGTTTACCACAGATGCACAAACATCGTTAAACCACAGGACTAAATATCTACAGCTGCAGGATCATTATGAGTAGATTACAACTTGTTAATGGCCCTGGAAGGGAAGTCTCATGTGACAGAAGAAAGCATGAATATTAAATAGCTTAACACTGACCATTTACACTTGAAAAGAAAAATCCTATTTGGCACGTTAAGCTTCAGTGTCCATACATTCTGGTGTGAGAATGAATTCTGTCTGGGGGTTGGACTGGATGATCTTTCGAGGTCCCTTCCAACTCCTAAAATTCTGTGATTCTTCAGTTAATAGGTCCTTTCAGCAATTCAGAAGAACTAAGTGAAATACTTTTTCCACAAAAATAGATTTCTGCTTTCTTCACAATTTTTTATACTTTTTAATTTGAGTTTTATTATAAAAAGGAACAAAATTTAATTTATAGTCTTGTATAGCTCCCACAGAACACTCTTAACTGCTATGCTCACAGCTGTGAACATGCGTCTGGGGCTCATATTCACAGAGTCACAGAATGTGAGGAGTTGGAAGGGACCTCTAAAGCTCCCTCAGTCCAACCCCTGCCAGAGCAGGATCACCCAGACCAGGTCACATAGGAACACATCCAGGTGGGTTTTGAATGTCTCCAGAGAAGGAGATTCCACAACCTCTCTGGGCAGCCTGGCCATGCTCTGGCACCCTCACACTGACAAAGTTTGGCCTCAACTTCAGCTTGAACCTCCTGTGCTCCAGCTTGGGACCTTTGCCCCTTGACCTGGCATTGGACATCACAGAGCAGAGCCTGGCTCCTTCCTCCTGACACTCGCCTTTTACAAATTGATCCCCATGAATGAGGGCACCCCTCAGTCTCCTCTGCTCCAAGCTCAAGAGCCGCAGCTCCCTCAGCCGCTATTGGCACATTCATTGCAATGGCAATGCCTAGACTTTTCCCTTTTATCACTGGCATAATTTTCTTTTGAAATGTTACTTTTAATCTTATTCCTCATGCTCTTAAGAGGATTGCATATTTCCTGCTCACTTTCTAACAAGTAGTTTAGGAGAAGATGCATAAGCTTAATCTCACAAAAGGGATTCTCTACTCACTGTGTTTTTCTTTTCCACAGCCATGTCAACGGTTGGTGGAAATTCAGAGGGAGCCCCTTGTGTATTCCCCTTCATCTTTCTTGGGAATAAATATGAGTCCTGTACAAGTGCAGGTCGCAATGATGGCAAGCTGTGGTGTGCTTGTACCAGTAGCTATGATGATGACCGCAAGTGGGGCTTTTGTCCAGATCAAGGTAACACAGTCTCTCTGAGCAATGCAACGGTAGCAGCATACCGACCACGCTGATGGCACCACACTTCCAGCTACTTCACACTTACCACTCCTGTTTGGTTATAGAACTTCTTCCCAGCCCAAAATCTGAGCAATACCTCTACTAATGTGAGACTCAGTCCCAGACATCATCTGCCTGAAACATTCAGATTTGCTAAAATGATAATGGTAAAGGATCTTTCAAAAAAACCAAAATGTTTCTCTCATCACCAGTTTTTCCTTCCAAGGCTAAAAGCCACAAGCATTATAGTATTTCATTAGTATGTAATAATTATACTCTGATATTGGCCAAATTAGGAACAAACACTAAATATAAAAAATCAATACATTTGGGATTGATATTACCAAAGATGAAAAACATGTTTAAAAAGGAGAGAGACAGTATAAAGCTTGTATGGTGAATATCAGTGTTTAAAATTATTTTGGTTAATCTTTGTCCTTATTTGTAACATGGGTAAAATTAAATATAGCGAAAGGCTCTTTACAAATTTACAAAGAAATGCTAGATGCAGGTTTTTCTTTTAGGAGGAAAATAACTCCCAGATTTCAGAGACCATTTGGGCTTAGTTGATAAATTGTCATCCTACGATAAAAGATCTTTTTTATCCTACCAATATCTGGTACAACAGTACTGATTCAGGCTCTGTTGACACAGACACACAGACACACACACACACACACAGACTTATCACTTGCATGCCATTTCATGATGAAAAGTAAGATTTTTAATTCTCTGTGCTTAAAAAAAACAGTTTTATTTTGTTTTATTTGCTCCACTCTTTTTTCACAGGAGTATTAAGACTGTTGTCAAAGTCACTTGCATGTGAGATAGCAACACACATCAGCTACAGGGGAGGTTTTAGAATCTCTAATGAAATGTCATTTCTGGCAATATGTACGATATTCACCACTGGAGGCTGTAAATACTAATTATTATATTTCTTATTGGGAAATTTTTGATGGGTAGGAAGGAAAATAAAATTGTAAGACTATGAATTACCTCCATGGTAGACATCTATTTAGATGCAGGCAGCTAATACTATCTCGCTGTGTTTTTTAGGATACAGTCTCTTCTTGGTTGCTGCTCATGAATTTGGCCATGCCATGGGATTGGAACACTCTGAGGATCCAGGAGCTCTTATGGCCCCTATCTACACCTACACCAAGAACTTTCGCCTTTCTCAGGATGACATTAAAGGGATACAGGAGCTATATGGTAAAGTCCTCCCTTATCAGCAGAACTCATCAGAAAAGCATGCAGCACAGGTTGAAATTTGGGACACAGAACCTGCAGTAAATTACATACTGCAAAACACCATCAAAGCCAGAAACACCCTCTGTTCCTTTCTCCCTGCTTTCTTCATGTTATTATCAGGGCTCCTCCTTCAATCAAATATCACAATTTAAGGACTAGGGTCACGAAATTTATAGAACTAACAGGATGTCAAAAACTCCTCATTACTAAATCTTTAGATTAAAAATTCTAATGCCTTTACTGGGACAATGAAATGCTGTGCTTTTCTCTAGCTTGAAATACTTGATGTGGGTGGTTTTGTGTGCTATGGTCTACAAAACTCTGAGCTTACCATACTGCAGCTCCCTGTAAGAGAGGAAGGACGTTGTTTCCTGTCTCAGTGTGGAAACAGTTCACATTGCCTTCCCACAGCAATTCAAGTTGTATCATCACAACATTTGCAGCGTGTGTGGAAGCTGATACTTCCATGTAAAGGTATTTGGCAAGCTCCTGCACAAATAGTAGACAAGTGTGTTCATGTTGGTACATCTTTATTATTTCCTCCACAGATACTTTTAGTAACATGCATAAGTATTATTATGATTAAAGTTCCTTTCATATATATATATATTTTCTACCTTGTAGAAACACAAGTACACTACAGTCATTTAAGCAGTTGAAGAAAATCTGTAGCACTTCTCTTTCTCTGCTTTTCACTTTTCTACTGAGATATCTTCCTAATTGTGACTATATCCTACAGTATTCAACACCTTAGAAATGAGAATAAGAATATAACAAAATTGTTACCACATGAGACACCTTTTTATCAAAAAACTGGTTTGAATCTTTATTTTTTTCCTTGTTCTTAGCTGCTTTAATTAAGACTGGGAATTGAGGCACAGGCAAGGTCAAGTGAATTTTCTATGCTCACACGGTGTATCTTCGATAGAGTTCAGAATTTAACCCAGTTCTCTCAAGGCCAACTTCAAAACCTGAGACAAAACCACCCTTCTACTGAAAAGATTTTATTATAAGCTTTTTCTCCTTTAAACACTGCCTCCAAATTACGCCCCTTCTAGAAATCATGGTAGTTCGTGTTCTCTATGTAACCTGTACAGCACTCCATTTCAATGTAACAGAATATCTCTGTTCACCATTACAGAAGTATCAACTGATGTCGAACCTGGGCCAGGGCCAGGACCCGGGCCAGGCCCACGTCCAACGCTTGGACCTGTCACTCCAGAGCTCTGCAAGCACAACATTGTATTTGATGGAGTCGCACAAATTAGAGGAGAAACATTTTTCTTCAAAGATAGGTGAGATAAACTGCTTACCAACGGGGTGTTAAGTGGAAGAATCTGTAGGACTTAGTCATCAAAAGCTAGACATTTATTATCAGGCACAATCTCTGTCCTTTCTTTGGTGCGTTCAGAGACAGCAAAATGTCCTTTTAAAGAGACGGCAAATTTTGGTTTTATGGTTAAATAATGCGGCCTCTTTGCCACAGCGATGCACTGCTGGCTCGTGGTCAACTTGGTTTCCACGAGGATCCTTAGGTCTTTTTTCACAAAGCTGCTTTCCAGCCTGTTGGCCTCAGTATGTACTGGTGTATGGAGCTGTTTATCCTCAGGTGCAGGACCTTGAACTGGCCCTTTTTGAACTGCGTGAGGTTCCTGTCATCCCATTTCTCCAGCGGTCAAGGTCTCTTTGGATGGTGGCACAACCCTCTGGTGTATCCGCCACTCCCTCCAGTTCTGGGTCATCAGCAAACTTGCAGAGGGTGCACTCTGCCCCACCATCCAGATAATTGCTGAAGATGTTCAACAGTCAGTTCAACTACCCAGTACTGTCGCCTGGGTACATTGCTCATTACTGGTTTCCAGCCAGACTTCATACCACTGAGCACACCCTCAAGGCCCAGCCAGATAGATGATTTTCAGTCCACCTCATTATCTGCTTACCTCACCCATACTTCAACAGTGTCTCTACGAGAATTTCATTGGAAACAGAGCCAAAAACCTTTCTGACCTGCTCTCCCCTCATCTACCAAGCCACTCATTTCATCACAGAAGGCTGTCAGGTTGATCAAGCGTGACTTCCCATTTGAAAATCCATGCTGACTACTCCCAACCACCTTCATGTCCAAATGATTGTCTGTAATTAGAGATAAGTGAGATGATTATACTACAAATTCACCTTTTCTTAGAGCTACTTTCAAATTTCTTTGAGAGTGGAATTTTCAAGTTCAGCCATTATTTTAGGCAGTTTTGTGGTGATTTTTAATTTCTGGTTTCTGCCCTACACTGAGATAACAAGATGCTGTGACAACAACTGGGCTGGTGGTAGTTGTAGCTAAAATCAGGACAAGGAAATGCCACAAACCTCACAAAAAAGCCTGTTTGCATGGTATTTTATGTCTAATTTTACAGCTTGGAGAGCAAAAAGTAACCCTAATGTCAGCCCTGTTGGCTTTATGGTCACATAAGTGTTGCTCAGAAGGGTGAAGTAGCTGGGAGACACATCCAAACTTCTAAATGCTTATGCAAACCAGATATGACCCTCAGAATCTTTAGAGATTTACCCATCTGTAACGTTACTGACAAAATTAGCAGTGGAAGAGATGTATTAGCCAGAATATTGCCGACCAAAGAAGGATTAATTCCCTATAAATTATATCCAGATGCTTTTTGTAGCAAAACCTGCAAGGATTGTAATTCAGCAATGGAAATCCCATCACTTCTAGTGGAGTAGAGCTCTGGAGACGCTATCCTTCCTCATTTCATTTCATATAGTCTGAACTCTGGGAGAAAGCTTCAAATCTCATTGCAGGAAAATTTCCAACCTCAACTTCTAAAAAACAGTCCTCTCAGCATCCAAACAGCTAGTGGCAATAATCTCAAATGCCTCTTCCACCATGGAGACACTGTTTTAGCAAACCTTCAGTGTTAGTATAACTCTCATTATGATAGACTAGTCCAAAGAGAGACTTCCTTTCCAATATTCATAATGATATGATCATGAAAATCTAGGAGCAGACTTCTCCCTGAGTGGTTTAATCCAGGTTGAGTGAAAAACCATTAAATAACAGCATTATGTGACTCTCAGCTGCTGTAATAACGCATCAAGTACTGGTGATTAGGATAAGCTCCATGTGTGCAAGGCCTTCAAGGCAGAAAACACAAAAGGCATTTTTGATGCAAGAGCAGAGACATTCGCGATAAAATGAGGTGGCTGCACAGCTGCAGCTCCCACTGCTTTTGCCAGGGCCTGTATTACCCAGCTGCTCAGCAATGAAGAGCAACTCCTAAGGAGTATGGGACTTGGCAGAATCATGGTAAGAGACCCTAAAGCTCCTTTTCCCCTGACATAAATCAATGCTCAATTTGAAATCATTTATTCTCCGTAACGCTGAACATTCTCCCAAAGCCATTGAAGATCTGGGCCTGCACACATTCACTGTGCATGCCTAAATCAAATACTGTCTCCTATCATACAGAAACATACACAAGGATCTGAAGGTGATAGAAGTTTCACAGCTCACTTCATTGCTCCTTGCCGGATGTCAGCTGAAATTTTAAAGGAAGCAGGAACCAACAAAAAAATCCCCCTCACAAACCAGCAATTTAATAGTTATTTGTATCTCCTAGTGGTGTAAAGTCCAGCCATCTTCTCCAGATTTAAAATTTCAGCATGAAGATGTGAAGGATTTGTTACTATTTGTTCAGCTCTACTCACCAGCTTTTCGTAACAAAATGTCATGGTCAATTGGGTAATTTTACAGGCTAGAGTATACAGTACTTTAGTGTATTTCTTTCTAGTTCTCATCTATGTGATACCCAGAATATTGGTGCTTTGGGTCTGAAGTTTGACTTAATCTTTTTCACAGGCTTTGTGTTTTAGCAATGCACAAATGAGATTTAAAACTTCTCATTTTAAGAACATAAGGTTCCCCATTTCTGCTACAGCCGCTAGGGGCAAAAAGGGTTCATTGAACATATCTGTGAGGACACCTGTGATACCTTTTCTACTATTCCTCACAGCCTCATCAGCAGCAGGCTGAGATTGCTTACAATCCAGTGATTCCTGATGGCAAGAAACAGCTCTTTCTTGAAATGGCCCCACAGTACCAACAGACCGGCTTCACCAAAAGCCAGCACTGACCCTTCCACCACGTAGCTGCACAGAGCTGGCCCCATCACCCTGGCCTAACAAGCTTGCCAAAACCCGTGCCCACTTCTGCTAGCGTAGTCATCAGAGAGCTAAAGTATTCACCTCCACTCAGTGCCTTCAAGAGGAAAAACAAGTTCTCTCAGCAGTAAAAGCCTTTCAAGTTCCACAGTATTCACAGCATATGATCCTCTTTTGCTCACTTGTGGGCCTTGGTTTTCAGTCAGACCTCCACCTTGTTTCTGCTTTTGCAAACTGGTAATCATGCAAGACTTGATCCAACCAGGAACAATTCTAAAACTATTCCTAAATC